GCAACTGCGTTAATGCTGTAGGAAACTGGACGTAAGAGTTCAATCCTTTTATTAAACAATTACTTTGAACATATTAAACTTAGCAGGAAATAAATAGGGCTTGATATAATAAAAAGGAAGAGCCAATTAAATTTCATATTTATTTCCTGATTGTTTTTGTTTTTTTATTATTTTATTTCACAAATATTATTTTTTAAAAACGTATGTTGTACAGTTCAAGATTTAGTGTTAATGACTGAGGTGTAATGATTCGTGATAAGTTAATTTTTAGTAAGGAATATAGTATTATTTTGTGCGAGACTGAAAAAAAGTGTTGGAACACCACACTAAATACCGTATTCGGTATATACCGGACAAGGCGTTTGAATGATTAAATGCTAACAACTCGCATTTTTACTTTGTGATCATGATTTCTGCAAGCCTCTCGAGGTACTGCTCCATCTATAGTGCAGTGATTTCTGCATTTTTAAAATGCAAACTTTATCCCAATAAAAACTTTATGACTGTATCAAAATGAAAAAAACTAGATGTTTTACTGGTCCCACAAGAGGATTTTGTAGTTCCATATTTCATTTCATTCCACTTTCAACATATTTCTTTCGTTCGCCTTACTAATTATCATATTTAAATATGGGAGTTATATGTATTTTAGATGTGATTGTCTAGAAGGTTGGATAGGTGACCAGCATTGTGAGGAACCAGATAATAGCACCGACACTCGGCTCTGTACGCCAGGGTGGATGGGCGATTGGTGTGCAGACATGTGCCTTAACGAGTACGTATTTACTCTTAAACGTAATACTGCCGTACTTTGTATGTTTGTAACGAAAATTTTGACAATACTGACTGATACGGCTGCTCCAAATTTACGACATTGTATTTATGACAAATAGCATTTGTGCAGCATTATAAATGTGTTATAAAGACTTTTAAGGCGTTAAAAGGTCGTATGTAAGCGAGTATTTACTAAATTACTATCGCCTTGCCGCCCGAATTATATTTATATAAGCTAACACAATCTGACTAAATCAGCTTCTAAATAACGCTACACATTATGTATGAAATAAGTAGATCTGAACTTCATTCAGATTGAAGCTAATAACCTTTTATACAAAAAAAATAATTTTTTTTAAATATCTCTAATTTATCTATATTAATGGTGTTACCCAAGTTACATTTTGACGGATCGTAACGCTCAAACAACGAAAACGCTTTTAACTCAAATCAATTGGATTGAACATCGCATTAAAATTGATTTACATTATCCATTTCTTACCAGTTGCAATGCCCCACTTTATATATATTAATGTAAGACTTTCATATTTAATGTTTTTAGATTTTTGTACCTCAGTGGAGCTCCTTGAAAATTTGTACCGCACTCAAGAAGCCATGTAGATTGTTTTGTTTTTTTTTTTTTTTTTTTTTTTTGTTGTTTTTTTTTTGGGGGGGGGGGGGGGGGTTACGTCGCACCGACAAAGTATAGGTGATTTGGCGACGTTCCAGCTTTACTCGTGGAGAGGAAGACCTCTGGTGCCTGTCCTCGCATTATTTCAGGCATGAACGGGCACCTGAGTAGAACCACCGACGTTCCGTAAGCTAGCTGGATAGCTTCCTCACATGAAAGAATCCAAAGTCCCTGTCGGGATTCGAACCCACAGCGGTGAGGGGCAAAAACCATGTAGAAAACACACACTAAATAATTTCATATGATACATTGTAAAACTCTTTTAAATAATACAACATATAGTAACATATACTAATCGGAACTCCACTGCGGGTGTCTGATCTGCCGGGACTGGAAATAATTTTACCCTTGTGTAGGCCTAGACCAATTACTTGTGTGCAAAATTTCAGATCATTTACTCTTCTTAGAATCCTAGAATATTCTTATTGTGAAAAGTTACCTAAATATGAGTATACTCTGAGTATATTTCTCAGTTATATTTTGCATATCTTTTCTTTCTGTTTTTAAAAGTACTCTAACTGATCTATGTAAGAAATTCCTATTTTATATTTCTGGTCTTTTGGACATTAATTAGTGGAGTTCGTTTACACTTCCAGTTTTTTTCTTTAATTCTGTTACAGCTCAATGTGCGGACAAAACAAAGTTTGTAGAATGCGAGGCAGAGGTCTAAAGTGCCAATGCGACGTTGGTTGGATGGGACGTAACTGCACTGTTGATGTGGATGAATGTCAGAGAAACCCGTGCAAGCACTCTGGGACTTGTCACAACACACAAGGATCTTACACTTGCGCATGCCCAGTACAATGGCAAGGAAAAGATTGTGAAGATGATGTTGATGAATGCCCTAGTAACCCATGTCAGAATTCCGGCACGTGTATTAACACAAATGGGTCCTATAATTGCACATGTGTTACAAAATGGCGGGGACAAAACTGTACAGAAACGGACTGGTGCGCGGACAAACCTTGTCAAAACTCAGCCAAGTGCACTAGTAAGCGTTTTTCTTATCAATGCACGTGCGCGTCGGGATGGAATGGTGTAAATTGTACCAATGATATTGATGAATGCGCGTCGAGTCCGTGCTTGAATTCGGGAACTTGTAATAACACTGCTGGTTCCTACATATGCACGTGCGATAATGGATGGGAGGGTCAGAACTGCAGCATAGACGTAGACGAATGCCAATCAAAACCATGTTTGAACGATGGGGTATGTTCCAATTCACAGGGGTCTTTTACTTGTAACTGCAATTCTGGTTGGACAGGCAATACGTGCACAGATGATATGGACGAATGTATCGCAAACCCTTGCCAACATTCCAGCACCTGTGTCAACAGTGCAGGCTCTTACTCATGCGTCTGTGAAGCCGGGTGGCAAGGCGCAAACTGCGGATATAAAGACAGCTGTTTCCGATCCCCTTGTGAAAACAATTCTACTTGTAGTAACGTCCGGGATACATACAGATGCACCTGCGCACCAGGGTGGCAAGGAATAAATTGCACGGACGATTATGACGAGTGTTCGGATAACTCTACTTGCAAACATCAAGCGATGTGTAATAACACAATTGGTTCATACTCGTGCAGTTGTATCACAGGTTGGCAAGGCAGTATTTGTGACGTGGATGTAAACGAGTGTCTAACGTTTCCGTGTAACACATCTTACACGTGCATTAACAACTTAGGCTCGTTTTCTTGCAAGCCTATACAATCACGTATGCATATCTTACTTTATCTTTTGCAATATCTTAGGTTTAATATCAAAACTTATACACTTTTTAGAATATTGATGCACTTCATTTGAATCATTTATTTCAGTTGCAAAACCATCATCATCACTATTTTATCATCATTTTCATCATGAATCTCATAGCGATCATCATTACAATAATCATAACCATTGTAAGCACCATTATCGACACCAGTTTTTATCTTCATCATCATCATAAAATTCACCATCATGAGTTTTTTTCCATCTACATATTCATCATAATTATCATCATTAACATCATCATCATTATCATTACCATTATCGTCATCATCATCGTTACCGTCATCATCATTACAACATTAGCAACATCATAAGCAGCATTATTGGCCATGAAAAACCAATTGCAAGTTAATAATAAAATATATTTCCATTGCCTACAGAAGAAAGCAGGTCCTCTTCAAAGGCCGGTTTAATTGTTGGGGCGGTGTTAGGACCAATGGCTGTATTGGGCGGAATAGCCACTGGTCTCCTGGTGTTTAAGAACAAAATTTGGTAAGATTGATTTATTGTTGTTGTGTTATAACTCGGTGATTTTTGATTTTTTATTCGGAATTATTTTTCTTGTTTGTTTGTTGTATACGAATGAGTATCTCGCGAATGAAAAGGAGTTTTCTAGAATATAATTTTATGAAAAAATCTTTGATAGTTGCTTTCTAACTAAGCTATTTAAAGACATTTCCGTTGTGTACTGTGTCTATAATCACGTGGATTCGCAACTTTGTAATTTATTGATAGTATATTGTTCCAAATATATACACATTTATATAACATTTTAGTATCCTTCTTGGATTTAAAAATAAACGCAATGAATTGTAAATTTTACAGGACTAAAGGAAGTGTCGCAAGCGAAAATGCAAATTCAAATGAATCGAAAGATTGCGATACGACTGCTGAAAATGGAGTCGACCAAGAAGCAAAGGTTAACGATCAGAAAGAAGAAACTGAGAAATCAAAGGGGAGATTTAAAGACTTCATTGCTCGTACGCAAACCTCGGTTAGCAATTTATTCACCAGAAAATGATATTGTAGGGTTTTGTATTATTTTTTCATGTGCTTAGTAAGATCTTTTTTTTTAAATGTAACATAACAACATTACTATGATAACATTTTGCAAAGTATTATCTTATCTTATACTACATATGTACTTAGTTTTACTTTACTTGAAAGTAAATCTGAATGAGATTTATCCATTACATGTGTATAGTGACGTATGTATGAAATACATTTCATAAATAATAATCTTGAAATGCCGTTTATTTTTATTGGTAAATTGTGTACAAATATCATGATTTAAACGCAGAAATAAAACACTTGAATGGGAGAATGATGGCACTGCAGAAATAAGAAACGCAGAAATTTAAGACCCCTTATTTTAACAAAAATCGCAGAATTTTAAGACCGCATAATTAAGTATTTATACGGTATATAAAAAGACACTAACATTGCATAGTTTTACTGTAACAAATTAAACAAACAAAATCGTAAATATATTTGATAAAATTCAATACTTCTACATCAGTGGATCAAACTAAATAAACATATAATAAAATAAAATGTTTTGTTGTTGTTTTGTGGTGTTGTCGCTGTTGTTTTCCCCTTTGTGCATTTTAATAAAGATATTTTATGGAAAAATATCATAACATGGAAACACTGATAATATAAATAAAATGAATATGTTCTGCATTCTGAAATCTTCTATCGATTCGTTTAAAATGCACGTATTTGTTGAATAAGGGAAAAAGGTAAATGCGCGTTGACATGCTGAACTTCTTGTTGTTATCTAGTTTAGAAGGTGGACTATATAAATGTTTAACCCTTAACATCCTGTTCTTTTTTAATGTACTTGTCAAGCTTCCATTGAATTATGTGATCGTCTGATTGGTAATCTGAAATGGGAAACTGTACATAATAACGAATGGACTTTTTACAATGCAATTAGTCGTATAAGCATGTATAAAAAAGAGAAAACAAAACAAACAAGAGCTGTCCGTAAGACAGCGCGCTCGACTTTTTTATTGCTTGCCAATAAAAAAAGTTTTTGCAGTAAAAGGCAATACAAGAATCTCTGTATTTTTAAAGTGAACAATGGCCATGAGCATTAAGATATTTAGTGAAGAATTATTTTACTGAATTGTGTGATACCCTTGAACACTGCAGGTTCAGTGGATAGGAATGAATTTTTTTAGATTTTTTAAGTTTTTTAGTGCTTGCCTATAATACAAAACATTGACAGTTAAGGGCCATAATTCAAATAAAATCTTTGACAGAATTACCTTCTCCTGGACATGTTTGGGAATCATGATTGTAAACAAGTATTCCAACTTTCAAATCAATATCTCAAACAGTTCAGTCAAAAAGTGGACTGGTACTAAAAACTTAACCAAGATTCTAAGTCGATAAAAGGCCTTAATTTTTAAAACAAATCCTTGACAGAGTTACCTTCTCTTGCGTACAGATGGGGGTAATGATGTGAAATAGCATTAAAAGTTTCAAAGCAATATCTCAAAGGGTTAAGGCAATAAGTGGATTTTACCCATATTCAATGTATTTTCTAAGTCAAAAAGGGGCATAATTCTGTCAAAAACCTTGACAGAGTTATGTCCTCTTGTCTGTTGATGAAGGTCGTGATGGTAAACAAGTATGGTCAGTTTCAAAGCAATACCTCCAATGGTTTTGAAATAAAGTGAGGTGGTACAAAAAACTTAACCAAGCTCAATACACTTTCTAAGTCAAAAAAGGGCCATAATTCTGTCAAAAACCTTGACAGAGTTATGTACTCTTGTCTGTAGATGGAGGTTATGATGGTGAACAAGTATGGTAAGTTTCAAAGCCATACTTGTAATACTTCTGAAATAAAGTGGGGTGGTACGAAAAACTTAACCAAGGTGTGACGCCGACGCCGACGCCGGGGCGAGTAGGATAGCTCCCCTTTTCATAGAAAAGTCGAGCTAAAAACAACAAGTACACGTAAAATAGAATTTACGAATGTATTAATGTTTTATGTATTCCCCGTCGTTCCAGTACAAAGCAGATTTCTATAGTTTAAGTTAGGGTGATTTTTACATTTGTCAGATTTGGTTCGATTTTTAACAAAAAATTTATATAGACGGGGAGCGTTTTTATAATTTGTAAATTTGCCCCAAAATTTAAATTCTTACACATTTAAATGTTTTAATTAAAATGCATTTCCCTTTAATTTATTTTAAAATTTTCGTAAAAATATGGTTAAAAAGGACTCATTTTAAGGGGGGGGAATTTTTGTATTTCGTCACCCATCCCCCTTTTTCTCGTCTGCCACATTTTACATTTTTTTCCAAAAGAAAATATTTCCGGCATTTTTTTCACCCCCAAAAAAATTCCCGGTTTCCCAAGAATAAATAACCCCCAGCAATTACCCCCAAAGAACCCCTTTTTGGAACACCCAAAACCCTAGTCTAACCCCATAATCGAAATTTTTCTTTGTAAAAACTGGTTTGTGGGTTAAACCCGGTTATTTTTTGTTTGTTTAAAAAATTCGAAAGTTTAGGGAGGGGTTGCCATGATGGATTTTGGTCTTAAATTAAACAGTCAGTAGTTGCTTCCCTTACCAAACACCCTAAATGAAAGATAAGTGAGAAGAGGGTGTGAGTTGTCTAAACTTAAAGAAGCAGATGATGTTTTACGGCTTTTTTAATATTGATTTGTTGTTCCTCCTGTCGATGTTGTTGTACTTTAAATTAATTTCTATTGTGATAAAAATATTATCATTGAATTATGAATTCTTCATTTTAACCAAAAGCACTTTCTAAATTCCATTGCTTTTCAATTTATAAAGTTGTTACACAAAATCCTTCTCAAAACAAGTGATACGTTTCACACCGTGTTTCACCTTATACACTTATCATTAAATATGTAAAATTATCACTTAGTTTAAAAATAAACTTTCTGATATCAGGCAATTTTGTGATAAGTTTATTATACTGATAATTTATCAACTAAATGTCCGTCTGTATGTCCGTGATGTCATATCTCAATATAGAAATGTTGTTGTAGTATGTAAATGCGCACGTGTCAAGGTCTATTGTTTTTAAACAATGTACAATATTTAGATTAAATTATAAGTATTTCGATGTTTCAGTATGTACAATTGTTTCATTGTAACGAATAATTGATTAAACTGATGATGATGATGATGTTGATGATGATGGGGATGATGATGTTGGTGATAATAATGATGATGATGTTGCTGATGATGATGGTGATGTTGGTGATTATAATGATGATGATGTTGCTGATGATGGTGATGATGTTGGTGATAATAATGATGATGATGTTGTTGCTGATGATGATGATGATGTTGTTGATGATGATGTATGATGTTGTTGATGATGATGATGTTGTTGATGATGATGATGATGATGATGATGATGTTACACTGAATCACACACCAATATCCGACATTTTAATCTATACAAACCTATCCATTGGATATATACCTTCAACTTTTTACAAGTGAAGTTAAAATATATTTAAAATTAAATATAAAATAAAAAAATTTAAAAATAATTTATTCACTAACTTTTATATTTATAATGTAGTGCTTTGACAAGATAAATATGGCTTTTAAAACATATTGCTTATAAGAGGGAAAATATGGACTATTTTTAAATAAGATTTCAAGCCTATTTATCATTTTCAATACATTTAGTGCGGAGTTGCTCAAACATACAGTCAGACCGATAAATATGTTACATATGAATAATTATTATCAACTGTTTATAAACTAAACTGTGTCCAAAGGGCACGGATGCCCCCAACTGACAACATATATATGGTATATAGTGAAAAAAATCACATAAGGCCATAATTCTGTTAAATTTGGTCGCAGCGAAAATTCAAGTTTAGGAGGAGTTGCGTTCACAAAATTTCTTTATGGTATATAGTGAAAAAAATCTTAAATTTGGTCGCAGCAAAAATTCCTTCCTTTACTTCCATCTACACATTAAGGTTGTTCATCCCTGGAAGTTTAAGCAAAATCCGGTTTAAGAGGAGTTGCGTTCACAAGATTTCGGAACGTACGGACAGACGTACGGACGGAAAAGTGCAACGCTATATGCCCAACTCCCCATAAAAAGAAACCCAATAAATGTCTATTGGATCAGACAGACAGTTTAATTACTATATACCCGATGAGGCATAAAAACCAACTGTGTTTATAACATTACTAAATAAATACCATGAACTAAAGCAAAACAGTTACAGGTTACTGTATATTTATAATACTTTACAATATCCATAGAACAGTAGATTGTAAATATGCAATTAGAGCAGACAAAAACTAGAGCTGGATCAATACCCCCACCTGCAACTGTGTTACATTGACTTCTTGAAAAATTTTCGTCTGAAGAAAAAGTTGAACTCAGCCTATGATTTATGAAGTTTCAACTGCGTACAAAAAATATTTCAATTGATTGCAAACCTAACTAGGGTCTGTATATTTAATTTGATTATAATATCTCATTCCTTCCGAAAACCATTTCCTATTTTAGTTACAGTGACACTTAACTCCAATGGATCCAAATGCAATCCCAATCAGTGTTTCCAAATGAGGTTGCTAAATGTCAAGTTTGATTAATGTTATGTCCAAAACCATTTCTTTTTATTTTCAGACGTGTCTGAATAAAAACACTGCACCCACTAACCAGATCTTAGTTATTAATTTGTCTCCTTGCTGTTTTGCTTTCAAAGATTGATCTTCCCTACATGATGTCAATTTTTTCGGGAACAAATATTATGTCATGGTACATTTAACTCCAACACAATTGTAGCAGCCAGTTGCTCTTGTCCACAAGTAATAACTTTACAATTATTTAGCAATCACTTTCATACATTATCATAATTATCTTTTGCTTTACTTTTCTCATGGCACTTATTTCTCTTTCTTTTGTGCATGTGCCATGAAAAGAATTAAAGAGCTACCGCGATAAGTTGAAAGAAAATCGTCCCTCATCGATTTGGCAAAGTTATTTCTGCCCTCACATTTGGCAGTTATTTTTGCACTTCATTTTTTTGTTTTAATATAACATTTGTGAGGAAATGATCTAGAACAAATTGCGCATTGTTGTTTCTTCTCTCCAGTGTGTACCATCATATGCCTTACAAGATGAGATTTACGAAAAAAAGACTTTCCACATATTCCACACTGAAAATTCTTCTCTTCGGTATGTATCATCATTATATGTGCTGAAAGCTTACAGCCTTCAGCAAATGTCTTAAAACAAAGTTTACAGCTGAATTTTGCTTCACCTGTGTGAATTTTCATATGTTTTTTTAATGTACTTTTACTGCTCCATTGTTTTTCACAAATACTGCATGAATATCTGTCACCATGCTCATCAATGTGAACCTTTTTGTGTCTGAAGAAATTGCCTCTGACTGTAGTTTTGTATTCACAGACATCACAACTGAAGACTATCTTGTTTTCTGTAACAGTGCTCATGTTTCTGTTTGATATTAAGGTCCTTCACACCTATAAAATAATAAATATACATGCAGTATACATAATACATTATCTAACACTGTTAGGCCAGCATTGTTATACAATTAATTCATATCATTTTCAATAAGAAACAACATGTGACATAAAATTTCCTTCAAAAACAAATCGTGGTGGCCATTTTGGACGCCATCTTTGATTTCTCAGCCAACACCACAGACAGAAAAATGATACCACCATTTTCTGATACTAAAGACATTTGTGATCATTTTGGTATATAATTTTCTTAACTGTTTTGATGATTTACTTAGATTAAGCACCATTTGTCACTACTATATATAAATAGTAAAAGGTAAAATTTTAGCTTTTCCTACAGAAGTAAAGGAAAAGGGACAGGATGATCCTATGTTTGCTCACCTGACTGTATAGGCTCTAAATGACAAATGATAGTGATAACTACATGTTTGTTCGAATAAAACAAGAGAGCTATGATGGCCATGAAATCGCTAACCTGAATATAAAAACGCTCCATGAAAAGGAACAAGTAATATTGTAAACGTATATATTTATAAGCAAAAGCAGATATAAAATCAAAATCTTATATCACAAAGTTCATATCTGATCTGTATCTGAAATGATAGTGCATGTGTAAAAACATTACTGGTTGCTACTGGTAAGGGAAAAACAACAGTTCAATAAGAAAAAAATATTGACCCCCGGGGCGGAGCCAAATATTACCACCGGGTTTATTTGAACAAACTCGACAGAAACCAAAGAGTAGATATATCATGCTTAAATCGAGCTCTTTGGTTTATTTTAAAGAATTTAAAGAATAATTTGAACCCTCAAGAAGGACCACAAGGTTTTTCAACATTTGTTATGTTTGACTGAGCTAGAAATTATCAAAAAGAGTCTTTAAGACAATTTTCAGGACATTTGGTCTGACAATTACCTCTAGAGTGTAAACAAGGTTTTTCCATATCTGGGCTGTATGACATAGTTTTTGACGCCAGATATTTCATATTCGAGCTTGACCTAGAAATAATCTAAACAACCTTTCTGACCTATTCTAGGATATTTAAGCAGACTATGTTACCTCAAAAGCGTTAACAAGGTGCTTCCATACCATACATGGGCTGTGTGTCTATTTGACCCCAGACAGCTCATATTCAAATTGAGCTAAAAATTACATTCACAATCTGTCTGAGCATTTTCCAAGATATTTGTCGATTGAGTGTTTTTCCATATTTGTGCTGAATGAACTTGTTTTTTTTTTACCCCAGATGACCAATCTCCGTACTTGAGCTTGAAAACATCTAAACATTCTTTCTTACATATGGGCCAAAACTGTAGCCCCCAGAGTGTTAAGGAGGCGTTTCCATATCTAGGCTGCGTGATCTAGTTTTTGAAGACAGATGACACATATTTGAACTTAGAAATAATGTAATTACCCTTTCTGGCAAATTTACAGGACATTTAGACCAAAACATTAATCTCTAGAGTGTTAACAAGTTTTGTTCAATATTTGAACTGTGTGACCTTGTTTTTGGCTCAAGATGTTCCATTTTCGAACTTGAGCTGTAAAACATTAAAGCAACATTTCTGACCAATTTCCAGGATATTTATGCAAAAAATGTTTCCTCTGGAGTGTTAACAAGGTTTTGTGATACCCTAGATATTTGAACTTGACCTAGCAATCATTTTAGAAACATTTTTTCTGACCAATTTCCAGGATATTTGGACTTAAACAGTACCCTCTTAATCGTTAAGAAAGTTTTTACATATCTGGGCTATGTGACCTAGTTTTCTCCCTAGGTGACTAATATTTAAACTTGTCTAGAAATCATCAAAACAATATTTCTGACCAATTTCCAGAATATTTGGACTGAAACAGTCGCTACTTAAGTGTTCACTTTTGGCTCATGTAACCTAGTTTTTTCATCTGAGATGACACATGTTTGAAGTCGTTCAAGCAATTACTTGAAAAGCATCCTGACCAAGTTTGGTGATAAATAATGCAAAAATGTGACTGCTAGAGTGTTAATGAACTAGTGTAGACGGAGGGCGGACGACGGACGATAGTCATTCAACGATGATAAAAGCTAACCCTGGCTTGTCCAGCTCAGGTAGGTGAGTTAAAAGGCCTGTGATATATAAGATTATGAGGTTATTAATCATCGTTGAGTACAATATTGATTTCAATTGAACGAGTACACAGCTGTCAGAACTGTATGTATATTTGATGAGAAGCTAGCTAAGTTTGATGTAAGTTTTGCAGCTGTGTACGAGTCCAATAGAATGAGTATTCTTTTCAACACTTATTAACCTCCTTATATAATACCACCATTTCTTGACATTTTGACAGACTTTTGGACTCTCAAAAATGAAAACAAGGCTAGTTGGGGTACGATATGCATTGTATAGATATTTTGGACTCTGAAGAGGCTTCATGGGTGTGTTTTGGATTTGACGAACATTTTGACTAGAAATGAAAATGAGGCTAAATAGATTAGATGGGTCAAATATTGATTTCTATTGGAACATCAGGTGATGCAAACTCTGGAGGTGCATTGGTTGTATTTCAAAAGGTCATGAAATAAAACAATAATGTATCAAAGATACGATAATCTTTATTTATAGTCAAAAAAAAACGTAATAATACCAGATATAAAAGCTATTTTTTGACATAACAGACTATCCTTTAACATGCAAACACATTTACCAACATCATCAATATAATACTCTAATGAGTTGTAATTTATAATACATGTACAAGTTTTACATACATAATTATTAATGATATTGAAGACCTTTCAATAAAGACCAATTCACTCTTATGCAAAAAGTAGATCGCTGTGTAAAAATCTAGGGTAAAGTGATGCACATTGTCGCAGAATACGCCACTCACAAAAGCTTTTGACAAAGATGTTGGCATTACAGATATGCATATAGGAGATATAATCTGGGCAATATCCGGACAATATCTGGATATTTTATCATCTCTAGTGACCTTGACTCGCAAATATTAACCTAAATTACATGTGTCACACTTGAAGTCATGTTAGTTATCATTTGTGATACAATTCATCAATAAATGAAGACTAAATGGTCCCTGTACACATCTTCTGTTTTATCTTAACTTTGAACTCTCTATGTGACCTTGTCTTTGGTGGCAGGGACCTTGATTTTTGCAATACTTAGCCTCAAAATGGTAAACATGAGTGTCAAGTTACATTAAAATCCCCCGATGAATGTAGAAGTTTTTCTTCAAACATTTTTAGATAACTCTTGAGTGTGACCGTAACCTTCAACCTAGAGACCCGGTTCATGCACGGGACACTGCTAAACATTTCTATGCAGTTTCACTAGAATCCCGCCGAGCCCATAAGACATATTAAGAACAAGAGTCTTAGGGAAAAATGGCGAGAATCCAAAAGAAAGTACTGACAAAACATGCCCTCCCATAAAAAGGCATGGGTAAGGAAAAAGGAACGTAAGCAAAATAAAGTACAGTCAAACAGGACATATTTAACACCACAGTCTGAAAGTAGGTTCAGGTCAAAGAAGACACAGTATAATGTTACTTCGGAAGCCAGGAAGGTTTTACCATTAAATCCAGAGAAGTATGCTTGTGTTGTGAAGAACCTTGTACAAAATACACAAAAAATCGACAAGATGTTGACGATTTTATGGAAATCAGCCAATAAAAATAGAAATGTGACGTAGAATTGATGGAAATCAGCTCAATAGTTCAGAAATGTGACGAAACTAAAGAATTTTCAGAAAATATGAAAGGTTCACATGTACAAAATCAACCAATTTCTAGTTTTTAACAACAGGAGAGCCTGGTTGTAAATGAGTTTCAACAGAAAGAAGATAGCAAAACTAGTGAGTAAAAAGAATACACTCACATGGCGTAAAATATCCCAAGTCGTATAGAGTTTCACCGAGCACAGAACGCTTAGCTAGAAACTTGTAAGACCTAAGAATGTTACTGCTGTCGGTAAAACACTGGAATTTCTGTGTTTGCATAACATGCCAAAATATTTGTTATAAACTGAGAGCCTAAGTCTTGAAAAAGTCACTGATATCAGTCAATTTCTGGACATTATATGTCCAAAAAACTACGCACAGCGCTTCTATTCATCTAGCTGCATTATTTCATAAATGTCCAAAATGCGTTTACACAAAAGGAAGACTGTATAGAATGAAAAAATGAAATCATGCTGACCTGGTGGAAGACGGAAAGGCAAGGAAGGTTCTGAAAAGCAAGAAGACAGCTGTTTCAGCAATAATGGAAGAACTTATCAGTGATGTGATGGAACAAGTACAATGTACGAGTTTTCAAGAAAATTAATTTATAGGACAATGGCAACAACGGCAGTTTGCTGTAATGCGAAGTAATCTGCCGACAGACTGGGTATTACTTGTAATGGACTTTTGGAAAAACGGAACGATTCGATATCAGGACAAACCTAAATCTGTTAACTATACGACACAAGACAAGTAACTGTTCATCCTGTTGTGGTATTTTACCATTCGCCGGTTGTACCTCAGTTAACCATCCCTTGTTTATCTGAGTGACGACCTAACACATGACCATAATGCTTGAAACAAACTTTTGACTATCTGAAAGAGCTCGGGTACCATTTGAGAAGGTAGCTGTCTTCTCAGGCGGCTGCGCGGCACAGTATAAAAGCAGATGTACCTTTGCATATCAGAGTCTGAAATATGTTAATGTAGAACGGAACTACTTCGGATCGGAGCACGGAAAATCCGAATGTGACTGTGAACTTGGATATATTAATCGAGCATTAGACATGGCATTGTTGGGCAGAAAAGGGACAATTGCAAATGCAACAGAAATGTAACAAGAGCTGTCGGTAGGACAGCAAAGCTCGACTATTCTTAGTGCTTGATAGTAAAAAAAATGCTTGATACAGTTACCTCCTCCTGTTTACAGGTTGGGGTCATGATGGTGAACAAGTGTGCAAAGTTTCAAAGCCATATGTCAATGGTCTTTGAAAATATTTGAACTATTACAAAAACTTTAACGTAAATTCTAAGTCGAAAAAGGGGCATAATTCTGTCAAAATGCTTGATAGAGATACCTCCTCCTGTCTACAGGTTGGGGTCATGATGGTGAACAAGTATGCAAAGTTTCAAAGCCATATGTCAATGGACTTTGAAAATATTTGAACTATTACAAAAACTTTAACGTAAATTCTAAGTCGAAAAAGGGGCATAATTCTGTCAAAATGCTTGATAGAGTTACCTCCTCCTGTCTACAGGTTGGGGTCATGATGTTGAACAAGTGTGCAAAGTTTCAAAGCCATATGTCAATGGACTTTGAAAATATTTGAACTATTACAAAAACTTTAACGTAAATTCTAAGTCGAAAAAAGGGGCATAATTCTGTCAAAATGCTTGATAGAGTTACCTCCTCCTGTCTACAGGTTGGGGTCATGATGGTGAACAAGTGTGCAAAGTTTCAAAGCCATATGTCAATGGACTTTGAAAATATTTGAACTATTACAAAAACTTTAACATAAGTGGTTACGCCGACGCCGACGCCGACGCTCGGGTGACTGCAATAGCTCTACTTATTCTTATCGAATAGTCGAGCTAAAAATGACATGTTCGGAGAGCACTCTGTGCTTCGATGAACCAGGATCGAAGCAGATATTCTTTTAAGTGAAACAAGAGCATCGCAAAGGCGTGGCAATATACGCCCGAATGCAATTTGTTTAAAATAATTAAAATTTAAAGTAATTAAAAATAATTTTTGGCTGGACATGCTTTATTTCAATTATCAACATTAAGATCTATATTGAACATATCTATGCTCTTTTCAAATGAATACTTAGTGACAATATTTATTATATATATCACAGCTTTCAATGTCTGGTACAGACCCCACTTATGCCCTTCAAAATCAAATTCTTTTTCGTGAAAGAATTTTGTTTCTGGACTTACTTGAGATACTGATGCGCATACGCAGTTCACTTTTCCGGTTGTGTTTCACGCTGGGAAACACAATTTGTAAATTATCAAAGTTTTATTGGTCGGAGAACGATCTAAGTTTATGACTTGTTGTGTTTCGAAACTTTCGACAGAATTAACTTCTTTATTGTGTGTGGACGTAACTAAAGTTCAAGTTATTTTTTGCGTTTTTTTTATCGTTGTACGAGGCGATTGTTTTGGATCGAACGTGGTGTGATCATCGTCATGGCAGATGCCAAAGAAGTGAATAAAAAAGCTGCAGAAAGCAGTGGTTACGAAAGAAAAGAATAATGGTAAAGCGCCGAAGAAAGCGTAAGAAAAAGTACCAGACAAAACTGCTAGTACAAGCTCGTCGAGTGTGGGCAAAACTGCAGAAGATAAAATGCTGTCTCTTTTAGAAAATATGAAAAGCTCATTTGATCGTCAAATGCCGGAACAAAAAGCAAAAAAAAATATAGTTTAACTAATAAAGTTGAAGATTGTGAACAATATGCTGAAGAGTTTGATTATGATGATGATTATGATAATGATCCCGTGGACACTTTCAATCAGGATTATGTTGATCAACCTGAACAGGGTAAGAGGAAAAACGAAGATGAGAACAAAAATAGCAGGTTTAAGAATATGGCTAAGAGGTTTAAGACCACAGAAAGTGATCTCGTAAAAAGAATTCTAGAGTTTTAGAGTCATTCAACCGTAAATGCGTGAATGGACTTGACGAGGATCATTATACTAAACTGATCAAAGGTCTGAAAGCTGTGACGCTTTATATGTTGTGAAAATGAACCAACTGATATGGGACGCAGCCTCCCCAAATACTAGAAAATCAAATAGGAAACTTCAATACATTGAAGAATCAGTTATTAAATGTGGTACGATTTTAGTAAAAGTTGTCAATGACTTGGACCAATTTGATTCAGAGAATGACGGGAAGCTTGGTCCGGTGATTGAGCAGTGTAATGATGTCCTTGCGTTGTTAGGTCATGCAAATAAGCAACAAGATACGACCAGGAAAGATTTTTTTGAGACCTGAAATGAGTAAAGAATACCCTCTGAATTAACTTGGTGGTTTAATAATTTGAGACAACAATCATGATCAATAAATCGGTCAACCCCTACTACCATTATTGAAACAGATGCGTTTCTTAGATGTGGGACTAAATAAAAAGATAACAGACTGATGGCTTGTTGAAGAAAAAAGCTTTAAAACATAAATATAATGGAATTGTTAGCAATCGTTTATGCATTGCAATCCTTTTGAAAGCATATTGTTTCCCAGCATGTACAATTAATGTCCGATAATACTACAGCTCAGTTATATCAACAATATGGGTGGAACTGTATCCCTGCAGTGTAATAAGATTGCCGTTGAAATTTGGACCTGGTGTATAGCAGTGACATATAGTTAACTGCTGCATATGTTGCAGGAAAAGAAAATTAAGAGGCTGATCAGACTTCTAGAAAATTTAAGGAAACTGGATGAATTTTTTTAATAAGATATGCGATCTGTGGGGTATCCCAATTATAGATTGTTTTGCTTCTAGGATTTAATACATAATTCAAGATTTATTGCTCTCCAAATTGTATTTATGTGGGCGTATTCCATAGATTGAAAAATTGTGAATAATGCATATGTTTATCCGCCTTCTAGTTTGTAAGGAAGATGTGTGCAGAAAATGAGAAGAGGTGTGTAATAGCTCCACTTTGGACAACTCAACCTTGGTTTCCAAGGCTCATGGAAATATTGGTAGACACGCCAGTTATAATTCAAAAGAAGAAAGGTTTGCTGAAATTATCGCTTCAGCAAACGTCACATCCTCTCGAGGACAGGCTCAGATTTATAGCTTGCAAAGTGTCAGGGATAGTTTCAGAAAACGTGGATTTTCAGAGGACTCTACCAGAATAATCATGTTATCATGGTAGTCAGGTACTAAAAAACAGTATAATACACACGTAACCAGGTGGTTTCGCTACTGTACTGAAAGGAAGTTTTCTCCAAGTTGGCCAACTTTGGAGAAAGTAGTCGAATTTGAAAAAAATCAATTTAACAAAGGTCTTGGTTATGAAAGTCTTAATACAGGTCGTGGTGCTCTCTCTGCTCTGGGAATTCATTTTGAAGAATTTCGGATTGGAAATCTTCCACTAATAATTAGATTCATGAAAGGTGTATTTGCAGCCAGACCAACAAGATCACGTTATACTGAAGTTAAGGATGTGAATAAAGTTTAAATTTATTTGAAAAAACTTTCATCAGTAAGACTTTCACTGAAAAATCTCACATTAAAGCTGGTGATGATCATGGCCATAACTCGTGCTGCATGTGTAAAAACATTACAATTGATTACTTATAATGATTATAAGAAGTTAAAATCATAGTTTGTGTTTTAATTTGATGTGTTGCTAAAGCACAACAGACCAAACTGTAACATTAACTTTAATTATTTAAAGCTTATCATCCAGATAGGAGACTTTGCTGAAGGAATATTTGGCACGCACAAGTAATATAAGAACTGAAAATAATGCTACGAAATTGTTACTAAGTTATGTTAAACCATGATATAAAAATGTTTCTAAAGGCACAATTTCTAGATGGATTTAAAGCTTTTATGTTATAAACATTGTGAAATATGGCTCTCATAGTGCGAGATCCAATACAAAGATTTCTGGAGTTCTTGTTACTCGTCGGAAAGTCATTTGCTAAATTTTATGATAAGGAAATAAACATGGGAAGAGACCAATTTCAAGAAGGTGTTTTGAGGCACTAAGATTAGGTGGGGTTTTTCTTCACTTAATGCTTTAAAGCCTCATGTAAGTCCCCAAAAAAAGAATTTTAAAAAATTAAACGAGTCTTACCTTGGTTAAGTTGGAAGTTTGATTTCATTTTCTTTATGTAAGAAATGAGTGAGGGGCTTAACTGCCACCCTCCCTCCCTACAGAAATTGAATTATAGAAAATACATTCTTCATAGTTGTTTACTAATGGCAAAAAACACTGATTAATAGTGAACTGCGCATGCGCAATAATATCTCAGTTAAGCCCCTCACTCAATTCTGACTCAAAGAATTGAAATCAAACTTCAACTTAACCAAGGTAAGTCTCATTTATTTTTCTAAATTTTAAAGCAGAGAGGTTAATTAAACTCCATGCAATTGTCAAAGAGTATACATACTGACAACAACAATATTGTAGGTATTCGAATTATAAACAATTTAAAAAAACAACAAAAAACATACAATTATTATTACACCAGAAAATCAAAAGCACAAAATAGTATGTATAAAATATAATTAAAAATCAAAATGCTATGCTTACAAATATTTGAAGATTTCCTATCTTTAGGTGACCCCTAGGGCAGGGCCAATATTGACCCCCAGGAGTATGATTTTATAACTTTTTTAGATGTCAACTAGGCCTTGCTTCATTCAAAATATTTAAGCTTAAACATGAATAGAATATTTTTGGCATATGAAAATATGTTCTGTTACCTCCCTTTATTAAATTTAACATTCAGCTTTTCAAAATGCAGTGGCAGTCATGGGATAAACTTTCTATACTCATTATATTAGTATTTCTTCCTTTGAACAAATACAATGTATTTTGTTTTAATGCATGATAAAACAGGTACAACAACTTTATATTATATCAGTCTTTCATTTAGAGTAAGACTGCCAACAATATGGCAAAACAGAGGTAGCATTGGGAAATTAAGGGAGGTAGCCTATATATATGAGGAGGAAACATATTAATAAATTCATACATTGTAATCTCCCTTTGCAATATGTACACATATAAGGATTTTGGATGAGAAAGTGTGAACTAGACCTTGACCCAAAAAAGCCCAAACCTGCACTCTGCACATCATCTCAGTAATATTAATATTTCTGCCAAATAGATTTTGATATTGATACAAAATGACTTAGTGTGACCTTGACCTGAGAAAGGTCAACCTGCCCTCTGCACATTGTCTCATTGTGGTTAAAATTTCTGCCAAGTACTGTAGTTTCAATTTTCTTCCATCGGTTCAAAAGAAACAGACCGGACACAAAAAACTCCTATATAAGTCTATATAAATCAATTTAATTCCCAGGCGGGGCCAATTTTGATCTTAGAAATTCCAAAGTTGTGTTCTGCACACCATCACTAATATTTCTGCCAAAAGGTTTTACTTTCAAAAGATACAGACTGGACACGGATGGTCACAACCAGGTGCATAACAATATATGTCAAAATTCTTTCAGATATATACTAAATGTGAGATAATATCTATCATAAAAGTAGCAAAATATAAACTAAGTAGTTACAAAATACAAGATCAATGTAACTGTTATAATTACCAAAAAGCAACAATGAAAAAGATGGTTCAGGTAATTGGCCAATGAGTAACTTTATGGAAACTATAACAGTACAATAAAAATTAAGCTTTTGGAAGTGAAATTTAAAGCATTTCTTGGGCAAAATGGACTGTTATTTACATGTATTATACAGAAAATATTGTAACATATACTTGCATGTATTCAAGTTAAAATAACTTATCTGACAAACTGACACAACTTTAAACACTTTGCAATATCAAAAATGTTGATAACATACATGTATATCTTGAACATTTTGTAACAATAAATACAACTGATGTTGAGGCTGTTGTATCTTTGGAACACAATATGTCTCACATTTATAGCGGACTCTGTGTCAAATTAATGTCTTATCAATATCTATTCTCATGTCTTTCTTGCCATAATAAGAGATTTAAAACCACAATCCACGAAATACAGTCTATAATATTATCTCACTTTTACTCTTGTAATGTGCATTTTAAGATTACACATTTTTGAGAAAATGACTTCTCAAAGATTAATGATTTCCTGATAGTTTTCCTCTCACAAGTGTGTATCATTCTATGTATTGCAATATGGCTTCTAAGATCATGATTCAGGATATCTCACATATTTCTCAACAAAAGCTCTCATCTTGAGCATGTCTCACCATTATGTGCTGTGGGACTTTTTTTCGTAATATTTTATATTATACATAATTAGTCTCTCCTGTATGTTTTGTCATATGTTTTTTCAGATAATCATTTCTGACAAACGATTTCTCACAAATTTCACATTGATGATTCACCACTACAGTGTGGGTTAATATATGAGCGTTTAAAGTATTTTTATGAGAAAATAGTTTGTTGCATATTTCACATGATATATAATTAATAATTTTTTCTGGGTGAATGGACATGTGTTTCTTAAGACAACCTATCCTAGCATATAATTTGCCACAGATTTCACATTGATAACTTTTCTCTCCTGTGTGTATTGCAGTATGCTTTTCAAGATCACTATTTGAAGAAAATGAAACATCACACACTTTACATATATATTCCTTTACTTTCATGTGTAACTTTATATGTTTGTTAAGATTAGATTTCAGAGAGAACAATTTATCACAGAGCTTGCATTGATAGTTTTTCTCTCCAGTATGTATAAGCATGTGTGATTTAAGAGTATCTTTTCGGTAGAATGATTTGTCACAAACTTCACATTTAAAGCTTTTCTTACCAGTGTGTACCATCATATGCATTTTAAGAGAACATTTTCTGTAAAATGCTCTATTACAAAATTCACATTGATAACTCTTCTCTCCAGTGTGTACAATCACATGTTTCTTTAAATTACTTTCTAAAAAAAATGATCTTTCACATAGTTCACATTGGTAACTCTTCACTCCTGTGTGAATGGTCATATGTTTTTTAAGATTACCCGTACAAGAAAAGGAACTGCCACAGTGTTTGCAGTGATATCTTTTCTCTCCAGTATGTATTATCAAATTTCGATTCTTATCAGAAGAAATAAATGGACTTTCTTTCATCTTGATTGTTTAGCAAACATAAAGTAGTCTCTATATATCTGTGTTTAGTTATCCCAATCAAACTGAAAAAAAAAGTTGGAATTATGGTAGGGAAACTTACAGATCACTATTTCAAAATATGTATAACAAGAACCAAGAGCTGTTTAAAGCGGGTGGTTTCAGAGTTATGTCCTGTACAAAGTTCAAAATGTAAAAATGAACAAAGTGCAATAATATGTCCTGTACAAAGTTCAAAATGTAACAAGAGCAGTCACAGGAGACAGCGAAGCTCGACTAATAAAATACTGGACGCAGTAAGGAAGACAAAACTATGAAAGAAAAATCAAATTTGTATTATTATGTTTTATTTATTTTTAGTTATTGTAAAAAAATAACATTGTTAACATAAATTCCAAGATCAAGGGGAATAATTCTAGAAATAGTTACGCTAGATTTATCAACCTTGTCACACAACATGTGTGTAATGATAAGAAATATATATTTGAAGTTTGAAGTTACAAGATACCTTAAAAAGTAAAGAAGTTATAATATTTCGTAAAGAAAATCATAAGTTCAAAGAGAGATAAATCTGTAAATATTGCTTCAAGAGTTATGAACATTGTCACATAAAATGTAATTGATGATAAGGAATAAGTATTTGAAGTTTGAGGTAGATACCTTTAAAACTAAAAAAGTCATATTAAAAATAACATTTTTCTAGTAAAAAAATCTAAGTTTATGGGGAGATAATTCTTGCAATATTGGTGCTAGAGTTATGAACCTTGTCACATAAGATGTGGATGATGATAAGGTATATATATTTGAAGTATGAAATTGATCCCTTAAGAAATAAAGAAGAAACAGTAAAAAATAGTACTTTTTAAGGAAAATTCTAAGTTCAAGGGGAGATTAATCTGAAAATATTGGCGCTAGAGTTATGAACCTTGTCACATAAGATGTGGTTGATGATAAGGAACATATATTTGAAGATTGAAGTTGATCCCTTAAGAAATAAAGAAGTAACCGTAAAAAATAGTAAGGAAAATTCTAAGTTCAAGGGGAGATAAATCTGAAAATATTGGTGCTAGAGTTATGAACCCTGACACATAAGATGTGGTTGATGATAAGGAACATATATTTGAAGTTTGAAGTTGATACCTTGAGATATGACAAAGTTATAGTTAAAAATATTTTACTGCACCAAAACTTTAATCTGAAATCTGGACGCCAGGGCGAGTAGGACAGCTCTCCATATATTTCGTATAGTCAAGCTAAAAATGAACAAAGTGCATTAATATGTCCTGTACAAAGTTCAAAATGTAAATATAAACAAAGTGCTATTACTCAAAAATAAGGCAAGGCAGAATTATGTTTCTTTTGCACTCTATGTCTTGTCAACGAGATCTATCTACCTACAAAGTTTCATGTTGATATCTCTTATATTTTTAGAGTTATGTCGAGGACAAAGTTTGAAGTGTAAAAATGAACAAATGGTAATTACTCCAAAATAAGGCAAGACAGATTTATGGTTCATTTACAATGCATGCACTTCTTCAAAATGAAATTTATCAACCTATAAAGTTTTGTGTTAATATCTCTTAAAGTTTTAGAATTATGTCCAGGAAAATGTTCAAAAAGTAAAAATAAATATTAAATAAGGGACAATTTGTTCTCAAAAATTAGGTATGGCAGAGTTATGGATGTCTTTCACTGCAAATCTACCCGATGAGATCTATCTATCTGCAAAGTTTCATTTTGATATCTCTTATAATTTTAGAGTTATGTCCCGGACAAAGTTCAAAGTGTAAAAATGAACAAAGGGCAATTACTCCAAAAGTAGGCAAGGTAGAGTTACATTTTTTATGCACTGCACATCTGCACATCGCGAAGAAAATTTTGGACTTGTGAGAGGCTTAAAATGACCCAAGGTCGATCATAAGGTATTGTGTAACCAACGCTGAAAAGCCTTTGACTCTATCTCAATCCCTTGAGAAGTTGCAGCACTTTGAAATAAATTTTGATGGGGTATTCTGTTAACCAAACAATCGCAACCTTTCGGCTTAAGAAAAAAGTTGAGGTGTTCCGACTAAAAAATGGAAGCGGTGCATGAAATATTATGTCGTATGGTCCTTTTCCAATGTATGAATGGTCGTTTATGCCTGTAAGGACATAAACATACGCCTTGATAAATAAATAAATAAACAAGACAACAATTTCTGGCGCAAACCAATAGAAATATTTATATCAAAGTGCATAAATACAGTTCCGAAATACATAAACGATCAATGGAAATATGCATGATAATGAAACATAATGAATAACAACAATTACCTGTAAGGACATAAACATACGCCTTGATAAATAAATAAATAAACAAGGCAACAATTTCTGGCGCAAACCAATAGAAATATTTATATCAAAGTGCGCATGCGTGAGGTGGATTTTCCGGGAAGTTTGTAAAAACTGAGGCCCGGCATGCAAATTATGTCAAATGAAATATGAGAAATTAGTTGTTATAATGAGATGATGAAATGGAATGATATAGGAATGATATGGGATAATGGATTGTATATCGGACTGTAAACAGACAAATACAAGAGATATATATACAAATACAAGGACAAAATGATACATGAAAACGATATTCAAAAACACGAATATCGACCACATGACATACTTCCCCACTTTGGGGAATGTCGCCCCGACATTCATAAAATATTAAAGAGGAAGAGCTTGAATCAGACATTGCAAGTAGTAAGCTTAGACCATAAAGTAACTAAACTACTAGGTACTACATAACTAAATCTAAATACTGAAGGCAATTACAACCTGTGAGTAAATATATAATACCCGGGCAAAATACCTTAAACTCAAGCATGTTCCACAAAAATACCGTATGCCGCGAATCGCGAAAAATATATGTCACGCGGAAACAAAATTTTAATTTATCAGTAGAACTGTGAATTCATTGAAGAGGTGCACTCTCACCAATATATCCTTTATTTCTAAAGTACTGTAAAGTACATTTATAAATTATCAAGGTAAAATATATGGTACATGGTATAAAACATAAAACAAAACACATCAGGTACTGAGCAACGCCTAACTTCAAAGTTGAAACACACCTAGACTATAAATCAAAAGAAAAAGCATTAATCTAATTTCCAGTTATCATTAAGCATCCATCCGGGTTTCTTTCTTGTACGTTTCTGCCTCTGTAAATTGTTGTTGTTGTCCTTAGATGGATTTCTCAGTGCAGGAATGACATATTTTGAACCTGTAATAGAATGAGATGTTTTATTTGGAACAGAATAAGAAGTTTGAGTTGTTGACGTGGCATCTTGTTTGCTGTTTGATGTTCCTGTAAAAGAAGTTGACATACAATTGTTAGAATCATGCATTGTGGAAGAATTGCTTTGTGAAACATTTGATGGACTTGATGTAAGTGAGGGATTTGAATCTAACGGAGCTGTAATGGAAACATGGAAGCTATATTAGTTACGGTTTCCCGTTGGGCGCCAAATGTCACAGGGTGAGAAAAATGTGCAGCCTGACCGGGACTCGAACCCGGGACCCTCGGAATACCGTACCGCGGCTCTACCGACTGAGCTATCCGGCCGCTTACACATCTTCTCCCCTAAATAGTGAACAATTCTGAACCGTGACATACTCCCCTGTTATATTGAAATTCGTCCTCGAATTTCACAGAGTTACAGAGCAATGTAAATTAAACTCTGAGCTATATCAGTCACGGTCCCCCGTTGGGCGCCAAATGTCACAGGGTGAGAAAAATGTGCAGCCTGACCGGGACTCGAACCCGGGACCCTCGGAATACCGTACCGCGGCTCTACCGACTGAGCTATCCGGCCGCTTACACATCTTCTCCCCTAAATAGTGAACAATTCTGAACCGTGACATACTCCCCTGCTATATTGAAATTCGTCCTCGAATTCCACAGAGTTTCAGAGCAATGTAAATTAAACTCTGAGCTATATCAGTCACGGTCCCCCGTTGGGCGCCAAATGTCACAGGGTGAGAAAAATGTGCAGCCTGACCGGGACTCGAACCCGGGACCCTCGGAATACCGTACCGCGGCTCTACCGACTGAGCTATCCGGCCGCTTACACATCTTCTCCCCTAAATAGTGAACAATTCTGAACCGTGACAATTACAATACCTTAAAAACGAAAAATTGTAAAATAATAGCGAACAAAATTTTTTTATTATCTGACTTTCCTGTTAATACTAATAGCAAGCTCAAAGAGCTGGCCCGAAGGCCCTGCTTGCAAAGCGAGCTTTACGGTTACGCGAGTACCTGCTAGATAGTGATGGTTTTGAAAACTTTCATCCGAGGCACTGAATTGACACATCGCAACTTTTCAGATTACAAGATAACGATAAAAGCCCAGATATTCTGATTGAAAACGGAAGCGTAGACTGGTGTCCTGCGCACTTATATGGGAACCATAATAGAAGTTATTAGAACAGGGAGCCAGAATAAATGGAAGCAGTGTATTAAATACCGAACGACAATTGTAAAACAGAAATGTTAAATAAAAATGAATGATTTTTTTAAAATATTTCACCGTAGAACTAGAAGTAAAACAAGTTCGCTACGAGTCTTTGCCTTTTCCATATTACAGTAGACTTTACCTACTTTGATATTTCATAATTTTTTGACAATTTATTAGATTTTTAATTTACTATTTTAATGTGTGTAAGGAGAATAGTAAGCCATCTTAAATTGCACTTCGGTGATTTTCAATTTTTATCTTCCACCCGCAGGTCCGGAATTTACCGGAATACGGCATATAGTGAGATGCTTCAACACACTCAAAAAGCCGAAAATAACGGCTACAAAGATGCATTTTCATGTTATCTCAATGCAAGAAAGTAAGAATTAATATCTAAGCAACCATAAAATTAGTCAAAACTTACGCTATATCTGACAAAAAAAGTAAAATTGAACCCAATCTCGCTTTGTTGTTATCTTTGGCGGAGTTCGTAATTTCTATACCAGCGTAAATTTTCGGTCCTACTAAACACTGCTAAGGACTGCTAAGGACCGCTAAGGACTGCTAAGGACTGCTAAGGACTGCTAAGGAGCCACAAAGGACTACTAAAGAGGCACAAAGGACCTTAAAATACCTCCTAGGCCATTCTTACATTACATGGTATTATTTTTAGTGAAAAAAAAAATATAATTTTAAGAAAAAATATGATTTTGGTGAAAATTTTATGAGTTGGCGGACCGCTAAGGACTGCTCAGATACACAAAAGACTGCTAAGGAGGCACAAAGGACCTTAAAATACCTCCTAGGGCATTCTTATAATACAAGGTAGTATGTTTAGTGACAAAAAAATGTATTATTTTAAGAAAAAAATATTATTTTAGTGATAAAATTTATGTTT